ATTTTAGACAAGATTGCCAAAAAAACGCACAACCACCAATTTACCAGGTGTTAGTGCTTCCGTGTGATTGGTAGCGCAGTTGCAACTGGTGGTTGCTTGCCAAACATGAATTCTGTGGTGGTGGGGGGTGGAGCGGCGGCCGGAAGCAGGGACGTATGTCTGGAATGTCTAACTACCATCGACAGTTGGAGGCAACCACACCAGGAGTTTACACATTTTTGGCCGCCTTGTCATCACCATGTTAGGCCATCAATCACCCTCATTTGATTGGCCAAATCGGCCATAATAGCTAGATATGCCCACAATTGAACTGTAATTAATTGAAGCGATTTAAGTGGCCGTGTGTCTTGGGAGAGAAAGAAAGATGCTGATTTGTTTCGTAAAGTGCTTGTGTTGCGTCTTTATTCTAATGACGCTTTCGATTGGACGAATTGTAAGTGGCGCTCAGTTAGAATTAGCATTAAAATGACTTGTAAATCAAGGCTAACATTGTGAATGTTACGCATACATTTTTTTATAGATCGCCAGTGGAATGGCGTACTTGGAAAGAGAGCGCTACATCCACCGCGACTTGGCGGCGCGCAACATTCTTGTCGGCGAAAATCATTCGGTGAAGATCGCTGACTTCGGTTTGGCGCGGATGGTCGAGGACCGCTATGAGACGTACGTTGCGCAAAACGGCACCAAGTTGCCCATCAAGTGGACTGCTCCGGAGGCCGCGCTCTCCGGCCGGTTCACCGTCAAGTCAGACGTCTGGTCCTTTGGCATCGTCGTCTACGAAATCATCACCCATGGACAGGTGGGTAGTGCTTGTGGTGTTCTTGTGGAACTACCTGGATTATCGATTTCCAGTACCCCCACTGGGTCAATCTTGACGTCGGTTCCTTCCTTACCGAGTAAATCTCATGGCGATTTCAGGTGCCGTATCCGTCGATGAATAACACGGAGACGTTGAACCAAGTGAGCTCCGGCTACCGAATGCCGAAGCCGAACGCCTGTCCCGATGGAATTTACGAGGTCATGCTGCAGACGTGGGACGCCCTTCCAGAGCATCGTCCAACCTTCGAGTACCTCTGCAGCTACTTCGAGGAGTACTTCGTCGCCTCGGAGACGAGTTATCGACACGGGGTTAACGTCGTGTGCCCGGAGGCGCAGCATCAGTCGTCGAGGCGTCGACTACGACGGGACACGATGGAGGAGGAGGACCTTGATGTGGAGATAATCAATTTGGCAAGAAACGGAACAGCCGGAGGTGTTGGGTACTCCCCCGACCACCACCACCACAACCTCCACCATCACAACCACCACCCCCACCATCACCACAGCCACCCCCACAACGACCCCACGCCCATGGCTGTTGTCTGAGAGAAAGAGTCTTGTAAAATATTGCAATCACCGCAAACACGTCCGTATTGGCCAAATGGCACATCCATTCAACCGATTTTGCATTCAACATTTATTTTCTTGTATTTGACTTGCCACATGACACACTCGGTAAAGTAAAAGCATTCAAACCCACCCTCCTTCCTTCCTTCCTCTCTCTTGCTGGCTAAATTATCGATTCGCGATTTAGTTTTTGACCACTCACGTGGCCGAGTGGTGTTCAGCCAATCGTGAGCATTTTTGAAGCGACCAATAATCATTTGATCGTGTTCATTACTCTCGTTTGAAGGCTTTATCTAGTAGGTTGTTAAGTCTTGTTGCTATTCACAGAATATGGTCATCTTGGATATACTGAGGCGGTATGAATTGAGTCATCTTCTGCAACCTGAGTGACTGCTCTGCGTAAGTTGGTGGTGTTTGGTTACCTTGGCAAACGCAACCGGAAGCTGGGAGAGAGAGAGGGAGGTGGGGAATTTTCGCTGTATGCATAAAACGGTGCGCACAAGATGACGGTTTCTGTCCTGTTTTTTTTTGCAATTTGGTTGAAACTGTCCACGAAAATGTTGATGTTCCGGTAATGAGTAACTCGACAGGTGGATCAATTTCGTGATTCACATCCCCATGCCTGCAACGCCAGCATATCCCCACCCGCGTGGTCACCTCGTAGAGGACAATTTCTGCAAGAAGGCGATGAGACGGTGATGTTCACTAACGCGAAGGTCCTTGGATGTTCGATCAGTAAGCAGGGGAATCGGATTGTCCCATTGTTGTCCACTCCAATATCACCTGAATCCATGGGAACAATAGAATACCACTGGAAGAAGCAACGAAGCTGATTGGTAGATGCTCAGACAATGCTATTGGTTGGTTGGAATCGACAACCGCAGGTTTGTACAGCGCCATAACTCCACTCGTGGTCGGCCTTCGAGTGGAGATTCACCCGACAGAGGAGTCGAGCCGACGATTCCTGCGCTGGTTGTCCATTCATCTTTGCAGTGGGTCTGGGTACCGACGTGAAGAACTAACGAGATGCATCCTAGGTCGTTGAAACTTCCATTCTGACGGATGACAGCCAGTTCACCGGCGATCACGTGGGCGATGTCGATCAGCAGGTGAATTGCGTTGATCCGAACACAGGTGCACACACAGCAAATCAAAGGGTCTTTTCTAGACGGAATGGTTGGGATTTCGAGGAAAAATCTCGATATTCCACAGCCTTCACGTCAGCAGCCGGACACAGGAGTTTCACACACTGCAAAACGCGCGATAACCCGATTGAACACATTTAACGCCCAAATTTCACCTAACCGAAATACGTCGTTTGGGGTGCTTGTTTACATGTCGCGCTTCGGTTGCAATCACTCGCCATCTGTCTCCGCCAAAATACTGATTGACACACGCGCAGTTGTTCAATTATGTGTGCTTCAGACGACCTTGACCGTGGCCAAGACTGGCAACCCACCGGAGTTAGGAACGAGCCAATAGGATGTGGGCGGTCGATTTAAATTTTCGGGTGGTGTGCGTGAATGCAAGCAAAAACCTAAGCCCACCGACCAAAGATAAAGTAGAACAGTTTGGTAAATTCTAACGTCCCCCACACTCCTATTTTAAAAATTTATCAAATAGCTAATCCCAGACCAGTCTTTTAGCTTAATTAATTCCACGGTGTCACAGATTTTCGAGGTAGTCAGTCAATTTATCACAAAAAAAAACACTTCAATTATTTACCTTGAACCCTTACCAAGAGAAGAGATTTTCAACGGAAAATGTTTTTTTTGGTCACAAAAATACTAGCGGCAGGTTTTTTTGAACCAATTACCCGCCGGGCTATCTGGGCGGCAGATCAAGCGTGATTTATGCCTCCTCATTGGTCGAGTTGATCTTGCAATCAGCAAATAAAAATTATCCCGCAATCAAGTAAAATTGCTTCATTCTGACTGACGTCGGTGCCGCAGCCTGTCCCGAAATTGGTTCCTCTTAACACTTTCACAAAGAAAGTTTAAAGAATGCAGTGCGGCGCTTTGCAGCGCGTTCACACGTAAAGCCGCAAAAGTATCGATCTTTGTGTGAACCAATAGTGAATCCGCGTTATGGCGATCGATAATCCGCCTAATCAGTGCTGAATACGACTCGTGTGCGCGCACTGTCGTTTGGCGTGGGTTTGGTTTGGTTGCCATGACAGCGGATTCTGAGCTTACATTGCAATTTCGCGGCTGTCTGAATTTTGTGATCGGAAAGGCAGATAGGCAGTGCCTTCAAATTGGGATGCCGACGCTCAAAAACCTAAGACGAAAACAGCCAGTACAATTCGACTGTTGTATTTACACAAATACAGGGTCCCATTTAACTACTTTATTACTAATAGTAGGGTAGTTTAACTAGTTACTTAGAGGCCATCGACGGTATCATTTAGGTATCTGTGGCCCATTTTTTTAAGCATCCACATGAGGGATTTCGATGTTAAACAGTCTGGATAGACATTTCTGTACTTAATACCAAAATAATGAACATGCGGGCGTCTTGAACAAACTTTTGACATCAGACGCATGTGATTGGTAGAAAGAGAATTGAATAGGATTTGTGCTTTAAAACACAAACTGAAATTTGCCTGTTTAACTAAACACCGTTACCCGCCAAACTCGAACCTGTTAGAATTTGATTTAACTTTTTTAAGGCCGCTGGACCTTAACTTATCAGTGACTATTTTTAAACGTGGAGAATCAAGCTAAAGGATATAAAAAGTTTTGGAAATGACAGTCATGACAGAAGCCACAGCTCCGGTTCCCATGTTCTGCGATTCTGTCTGAATGTTTTTTGCTTTCTTTGCTTCTCCATGACAACTCGCAACAGCCGTATTTGCATCGCCTCTGTCGGTAGGGTGAAATATTCCACAAGTGTGGCCTCCTGTTGTTTCCCACCGATGAGGAGCCAATGAAAAAACTGCGGGTTTTCATCGTAATTTGGTTGGTTTATAATCTGGCCCAAATACCCACAATTTGGGCTACGGATGCATGCACACACACGACATTTTACGGAGTGCAAGCGGAGTTCCAACGACGAAATCACAAACGTTCAACGCCTAACATGGAGGTTGGTGTGCCGTAGAAATGACTCACTTCACACACGCGCGCTCATTGGTCCAATCTCGTGAACCTCGACCAATCATGTTCGAGAGTGGTAGTCCTATTTTACTCAATTCCGAGATCAAACAAATCAGTGAATTCTATCAAGTTGCAGAACCGTGTACAGGCACCTCATCCTCTCATCAAACATCCCAACTTTGTTTAAGTGTGAAAATTCCGGTTGCCATGGCACCCAGCAACACGTGGAATTCACGAGTAATACAGTAGCATATTTGCTATGTTGGTTGCAATTAAATAAATTGTCGTGCGTGATTTCCGCGATTTTACACAGTTTTGGAGTTAGTGGTGGTTTTGGGAGGGTAAGGAGAAGTCGCACGGTCTCGTTCTCTTCTCAGTCCAGCACCAACTTGTTAAATATACCGCGCAGTTCAAAATCCGCGCGTTTCAAAACCCGCGCGCATTTCAAAACCAGCGAATTTCCGGGATCAAAGTAGAGTGCCGCGACGTAGCGCTCCGATCGTTTCAAAGTCCTAGACAGTCATAAATCTGCCCCATCAAATATGCGGTGTTAGAGAGTGGAGCAATAAAATCTCAAGTTTGAATGGGCTTGAATTGAAAAAAAACTCACTTTAACATGCTAAGTGTTGCTTCATAATTGCATTTAACACTCCATCTAATTCCACAATAACATCATTTAAAACCAACCTCCATGTCACCTGATTTCCATTTGACCAATCCGGCTTGAGGTAGAGGAATGATATTACAAAAATCAAATAAATCGATAATTTTTTGTAATTTCGTAGAACGCGCATTTGCGACATTGGGAGAGACAACCTTGAGGATCAATAATATTGGTTTACTTATGATGTGTGACTCGACGTTTTGTACACGCTGCTAATTAATTTTTCTGGTCGGAAACCCGTTTCACCTTAAATCCATTAACCTCCCATCAGCCAATCAAATCCTGGGGAAATAGGGCCGTTTTTGAAAGCGTTTGTCTGGAGACTGAGCTATAGTCTGAAACACATGTGCTGTCCATCCGAAACGGAGATTTTAAATGTAGATGTTCAGTGAGTTGAGGTCCCATGGGATCGACGTAACCCATGGTCACACTTCCCCAGTGTGTGGTATATTGACGCCATCAAACTCCATCAACCAATCAAATTCCAGACGCTTGGCGCCGTTTTCGAAGTTAGCCCGTTGTTTTGCATTTCAAATTATCGTGACCTCAAAAGGCGACAGAGGTGCCGGTTATAGTCGTGACCCAATTCGACAAACCAGAATCCCCACCAAATCCCGATTATCATCTTATTTAGTACTAAAATTAACTGTGTACTAATTTACGCAGTTCTCTTTTTTGTCATCTAGAATGATTCATTTGTCCAAAATCCACACCGTACATCCTCTGCCAAGCCTGTCACAAACCCAGCTCCACGCATTAACCTTTACGAAATCGTAGCACAACAAGTCTGGTCAGCGGGCAAGCGGTTTCGGAACGAAAACATTTTTTATCGCAAGTCTGGATGCAAAAAACGTAAACGATTTCTCGACTGAATCGGCGTTTAGGATACACGGCGCGTAAATGTGAAGGTGACTAATAAAGAACCATAGTTTGTCGAAATCATGCCAAGAAAACCAACAGCACGATAACTGGGACGTCAGATTTAAAAACAATTTTATATATTCGACGAAATTACACATTTTGCTCATCATTTGCTTTCATGCACACAATTTGCACATTCATTTTGACCGCCACACTCCCATTGGCTCACTCACCCACTGCTGCCAATCATTATTGTGGTCAAGGTCGTCTGAGGCACACATAATTGGACGACCGCGCGTGTGTCACTCAGCATTTCGGCAGAGACAGATGGCGAGT